TGAGCAGTTATGGCGGCTCTCAGTCCTGTCCCCAGGGGCTCTGCCGCTCTGAGTCCCAGCAACCGCTGCAAACCTCGGAGAGAAAGCTGCACTCGCTCTGACCGAGGCCAGACAGTCCCTCTTCTCCCGTTTGAGCCTGGGTCCCTAGCGACTCCCCCGGATCTGGAGCTCAGAGTCCGCGACTCCCTCCCGATTGAAAACGCCAACCGCGCCCTCCGCCGCCGCCCGCTCCGCGCTCTCCGCACCTCAGAATTTGACTTCAGCACTGCGCCTCCTCTGAGTGTCCGTATGCGTTACTCTTTCCTCCTAGTTGGAGGACTTCCACTCAGCCAGCGTTCCTGTGGGTCTGGGTGATGTCCGTTTCGTCTTTTAGTTTCACTTTTGAAGTGGTTGTTCGAGGCAGCAAACTCCGGCGTTAACCTATGCCGCCATCTTGGTTCCCCGAGACGGGGCATCTTGCCAAGGTCATGCCAATCCCGCTGGGGTGGTGGGGCACTCAAGTCCCCCCAACCAATGGAGGCTGGTCTGGCTTTGGAAGTCTCTTGGCCCCTATGCAGGAACCCAGACTGTATTGGCCAGGCTTCTTAAAAAGAAAACCTCATCATACTGCTGTCTGACTTTTTGTAAACTCCCTGGTTAGCTGCAATGGTCACTTTTAAATCCATTTCACTCTCATGTAGACATTGCCTCCCAGTGGGTTCTCAGCTTGCTAGTGGTTTTGTGAGCTGTGGCAATAGTAGATGATGACATAACAGAAGAAAAACTGCTAACGATCTCCCTTTGATTTTAAGTTGGTGAGTTGAAGTGTACCCTTACGTAGTTTCACAAATAACGTGCTCACCAGCCACCTTATCTGTGGGTAATCACAGAATAGAGAGAAGGCTGGTAAAAATCTGCCATGGAGGCTTGACCTTGGTGTCAGGCAGAAAGGTCAGCTACTTGGGGGTTGGGTGTTGCCTGACTTAGGTTCGAAGGATGACCTACTGGGGAGGTGCACCCATGACTCTGTGGCCACCTCAGGGTCATGCTCCAGGGCCAGTTTGGCTAAGTGGCAGTAGCCTGCGGTTTTGGGTTTTGATCTTAGGCTCTTTGCTTAATCAAAACCTCCAATTCTGGAGGAAATGAAAAGTCTGTAGGGGCAGACTTCACTTCCTATCCCTTGTGGTCTCACTGATGTTTATGTGAAGGGAGGTAAAGGCAGTGGCAGATAACAAAGGCCCTGTTCCCAGGACCCTGAAAGTGACTTGTAATTGCAGGTTAGATAAGCAGGGGCAGGGGGTGGGCCAGGAGGTGGTGTCAGGGCCCACGGTAGAGTGCAGTGTCCAAGGGCACTGAGTGACTCACGCCCACTCTCTCCTGTCTTCTCCACCAGGACATAGACAGCGCCTATCTGCGCAAGGCGGACCTGGAGGCCAATGTGGAGGCGCTGAAGGAGGAGATGCACTTCCTGCAGGCTCTCTATGAGGAGGTGAGTCTCCCGGTCTCCCGAAGAGCAATTGAGAGAAGAGACAGGAGGGTTTCCCTGGGGTGTGGCCTGCCCTGGTTCCTGGGTTCTAGGGCAAGTTGTCCATTCCTTACTTGTCTAGGATCTCAACATCCTTTCCTTTTGTGACTGAGGCCTCCTTTCAAAATGACAATGAATGATGGCCTTCCTTTAAAATGATTAGAAAGACTATATAATTCATTGCCTGTCCACACAGCACAACCTGAAGTAGAGATTTGATAATAGAGCTCTATAGATATAATTATTATTATAGAAACTCAGGACTCTAAATCTGGCTCTTATCTGGTTGGCTGGATTTATACATAAAGCTACCACTGATCTGGAGAGCTTAGGCTTCAGACATAGTAATTCAGTTTATTCCTGACCTTAGAAATCTGCCTCTATTGATTGCAGCATTGATGGAATTCCACCTTACTCACTGCCTTGAGGCTATGGTCCAGACTCCAACCTTTTTCCTCTTAAAACTAAACTTAAGCCCTGGCCAGTTTGGCTCACTGGATAGAGCATCAGCCTGGGGACTGTTGGGTCCCAGGTTCAATTCCCATCAAGGGCACGTACCTTGGTTGCAGGCACATCCCCGATGGGAGGTGTGCAGGAGGCAGCTGATCGATGCTCCTCTCTCATCAACGTTTCTCACTTTCTATCCCTCTCCCTTCCTCTCTGTAAAAAAATCAATAAAATATATATTTTAAAAAACTACACTTAACATTTTTCTGACTTGTCAGAGTTTTCTAATTTATTTCTAAAATTTCCAAGTTGG